TCAGCCTAAAAACATTTTTTTGACGAGAGTTCAAAGGGAAAAGTTCAAAGGGGGGTCCAGGCGGTACAGGGGTGGGGGAGTCACCCTAGAAGCACTTCCACAGCTTTTCCAGAGGCGTGAAACCCTCAAAAACAAGGGAAGGCGCTCCCGGGGTTTTCCCGGACCCAGGGAGGTAACCTCACAACGCAGAACGCCCTTGGAGGTATTTGGAGAACCCCACAAGGGATTAGCGGAATCCTTCAAGGGGTGTTGGGCCTTTTGGGTTTACTCCTGGGGTCCGGGGAGACCCCGGCATGCGCCGTGCTTTTTTTTTGGGGGTTTGCACTCCCAGATATAGTTATTCCGCCTTTCTTGGGGGAGCCCCCCTTTCGTTGGATTCACATGCCCTTTTTCACAATGCGTTTTCAACCTTTTCCCCATCACGACCTCCCATTTGCCACGTTGCTGTGAAGCAACGCAAGTACGTAATCCTTGTCCCCATCAAATTCAGACGTGGAACCAACCCCCCCCCCCCCTGCTCCAGGTACCCGGTGATCATCAAGGCGGCCATGGGCGGTGGCGGGAGGGGTATGCGGGTGGTGACGGCCTCGGCGGAGCTGGAGAAGAACTTCCAGCTAGCAACGTCCGAGGTAGGCGACTTGACTTGGGTGGCACGACTTCCTCCCTGGTTTTGTTGTTTGTGTGCATGCTCAGCGGTTTTGTTGTTCGTGTGCATGCTCAGCGGTTTTGTTGTTTGTGGGCATGCTCAGCGGTTTTGTTGTTTGTGTGCGTGCTCAGCGGTTTTGTTGTTCGTGTGCATGCTCAGCGGTTTTGTTGTTTGTGTGCATGCTCAGCGGTTTTGTTGTTCGTGTGCATGCCCAGCGGTTTGTCGTTTGGGTACAAGTACATGAAGGGGGCCCCTTTGTAGAAGGGCGGGCGAATCGGGCTAGAAACTTGCCGGCACTACAGTATTGAAGGACCTCAACTAGTGTAACCTCCCCCGACTATAATCTTACCTTCGTGTGTGCTCCATCCATGTGCCGACGGTTTTGTTCGCCAATCATGACAATCCCAGGCCCTCGCGGCGTTCGGAGACGGCAGCATCTTCATCGAACGCTACGTCAAGGACCCCCGGCACATTGAGGTGCAGATCCTCGGTGATGGCACAGGTATAGCAAGGCGTGGCTATCTGTCGGTTTTTTCTTCCTTATTTATGTCTGTCTGTGTGTCTGCCTGATTGCTCTTCTGTCCGTCTTTCTGTCTGTCTGGTTTCATGTCTGCCCGTCTGTTCTGTCTGTCTACACCCCGGGTTGTGTGCTATAGGAACCACCGCATGCAGATGAGACTGACTCCCCTGTCCACGGTGATCAATACCTTACATTCGCCCAAGTGTGACCATGTGTCCTTTTTGTCTCCCGGGTGATTTTTTGTTTTTTCTTTTGGTGGGGTTGGTCTTCTCCCCGAGTTCTTGCCTTCATGATGAAAGTCTTCTGGAAGAAGATGGAGCAGGAAACCAATGCCCGTGTCCCGGAGTACCGGCGAGCGAGTAGCTCGTCATTCCCGACCCTAAAAGGTTGGCGAGAGCTTGCTGCGAACCAGACTCGTTAGAGTCGACGAGCTTCGAGGACATACTCAACGCCATGCCGGCCATGTCCTTGTGAGCTCGTTCGCCTCTATAACGAGTCTGGTTCGCAGCAAGCTCTTGCTGTCCTCTCCGGGTATGGTGTGACGAGCTACTCGCTCGCCGGTGCTCGGGGAGATGGGCATGGGTCGCCCGCCAGATGTTCTTACAGAAGGCTTTCATCATGAAGGCAAGAAAGCCTTCTGTAAGCAGATGAACTGGAACTAATGCTGCTTGCCTTCATGATGAAAGCCATCTGCTTCAATGACCATTGGTTCCAGTTCATCTGCTTACAAAAGGCTTTCATCATGAAGGCACGGAGCGATTTTGCAAGAAAATGAACTGGAACCAGTGCTTCTGCTTACAGAAGGCTTTCATCTTGTTGCAAGATGTCTTCTTGCCTTCATGATGAAAGCCTTCACAATTGGTTCCAGTTCATCTGCTTACAGAAGGCTTTCATCATGAAGGCAAGAAACATTAGTTCCAGTTCATCTCCTTACGGAAGGCGTTCATCACGAAGGCAAGAAGCGATTTTGCTAGAAACTGAACTGGAACTATCGGAACCGATGACTATCACGGGAGCAGGTGCACGAACAAAATGCGTTGGTTCCAGTTCATCTTCTTGCAAAATATCTTGTTGCCTTCATGATGAAAGCCTTCTGCATGCCGATGAACTGGGAGCAATTCCAGTACATCTTCCTTTCAAGAGGCCTTCATCATGAAGGCAAGGAAACATTTTGCAAGAAGATGAGCTGGAACCTCTAAGTCATGTGCAAGAAGATGAACTGGAACCATTGGTTTGCAAGAAGACCATCTGGAACCACTGAAGATATTTTTCAAGATAAACTGGAACCAATGCGAGAACTGGAACCAATGCGTTCATCTTGGTGGCAAATGTGGTCAGCGGTTCCAGTTCGTCTTCTTGCAAACTGTCTTCTTGCCCTCATGATGAAAGCCTTCTGTAAGAAGATGTACTGGAACCAGGGAGAAGGCTTTCATCATGATGGCAAGAAATCGGGGTGAAGTGAAGACAACCACCACGAAAAGAAGAAAAAAAGAAAAACGCAAGGAAAACACAGCACAATACACACCTGACTGTACCCACGTGTGACGTTGGTTTCTAACCAGCTGTTCCGATATTGTCTTGGGGTGAGCTTGCGACCATGGAGTGTTTGTTGGCGCCGCGGGTCTTGGGGGGTGAAGCTGCCACGCCATGTAGCCTTGTTTTCTTCGCCTTAACAGCGCCTGAAGGGAAGAGGAGGCTCTGTGGGAGGTTTGCCCGCGGCCATTTTGGGGGCAAAAAGAGCAAAACCGCAACAATAGCAACCATGACATACCACGAGTAGTTGCTGCTCCAAAGAGGAAGGGCATGTCGGCATGCGCTCTGTGGCGTTGGCTGTGAGCTACACCTGTGGGCGCGAAGAGCAAGCTTGTGTCTTTTTTTTTATTATTGCCCGGAGGGAGGGAGGGATTCGTTCAGATAGCGGCAAAGCGTTTGACGAGACAACACACGTTCCATGCTGTGTGTTTACTAACGAACGCACTCCACTCACAAAGAGAGCACCCATTTGAGGTAGCGTCCCAAATCGAAGGGATGTGCTGATTTCCATACAGGAGTTACGAGCGTTGTGCAATACCTGACGGATACAAAGTTGGATCAGTACGGGTATTAAAAGGTGAAAACTGAGCGGAGACGGGAACGGTTTTTTTATTGTGGAGACATCAACAACAACAACAACAACAACAATTCAACAATTCTGGACTTGCACTATGCTTGTGTCGCCCCCGCCCCCCGTCCCAAGGTGACATCGTGCACCTGTACGACCGCGACTGCAGCGTGCAGAGACGCCACCAGAAGGTGGTGGAAACAGCACCGGCCATGCTGCTCAAGCCGGAGACGCGTCAGGTATGTGTGTGTGTTTTTTTTTTTTTGTTACTAGCATCGACCGCGCTAACCGGCTGACCAATGAAAAGACGTCAGTCTCAGTGCGGTTGAAAACACAGAACGCTTGTAAATGGCATTAACTGGGACCCCGTGAGGGGGCGGCATGGGGGAGGCTAAGCTATTCTCCGGATGAAAGACAGAAACGGTAGCTACAGAAGAATACTGCACGCACCAAGACTGCTACCTTGTTTGTTTGTGTGTGTGTCATTTTTCGTCTACATTTAAGTTGGCCTGGTGTGTGGTGGTTATGGTACTGGTGTATGCACACGACCAGCTCGCCGGCCTTCGTTGTACCGCGTGTGAGTTATTGGTTGGCAAATGTGCAGGCAGCAGTCTTTGATATTGTGGGTGCGGTAGACGGAAGGCCTTTCCGAGGCACGGTTTCGGAGGCCGTTGGTCGGCGGCGTGCTTCTGGAGGGGTTCGTCGTACCTTCTCCAGCCCGAACCCCCCGGCTCTGCTGTCCATGAAGCGAAAGTCGAAGGTTAACGGCAAACTCTTTTACCACGAGAGGGGTCTCAGAGCCGAAGGAAGGACAGAGGTCTTGGGGGGAAAACCCATCCAAAAAATTTGTTTACGTCAAACTTTGACATGACGTACATATTCTTGTTTTGTTTTTTGTTCTCGATTGGGCTTTTTTTTCTTTTCTTTTTTCTTTTTTCGCGAGCAGGCGATGTTCGACGACGCGGTGCGGCTGTGTGCCTCGGCCAAGTACCTCAACGCCGGCACCGTCGAGTTCCTCGTCGACCAGGAGGGCAGGTGTGCGGATTTTGGGGGGGAGCGTGACCTCCTCGTATTAACGATTTGGGGAGGGGGAGGGGGTACTCATAGCGGTGCATACCGCAGTCGTTAGACCATTGACTTCCCATCCCTACGAAGCCGGGACGGAGCACGCCGGGGGGGGGGGGGGCCCGGTTTGATCCCTGGGCCCCAAAGGTGTAATGGAGCAACAACCCGGCCCGGGGGATTTCTTCCACTAAACAGGAGGGGGGGGGGGTGGGAGGTTTCCTCCGGGAGGGCCCTGCCCTTTAGTGGCGCGAGGCCTTTCCCCCCCCCTTTTTTTCCCCCCCCCCCTTTCCCCCCCCCCCCCCCTTTTTCCCCCCCCCTCCCCCCCTCTCTTTTCCCCTCTCCCCCCCCGGAACCCCCCCCCCGGCCCCCCGGGCCCCCCGTCCCCCCGGCCCCTTTTTTGTAAATTTTTTCCCCCCCCCCCCCCCCTTGGGCTTTGGGGAAACGAAAAAAGGACCCAAAAGGCCCACTTCTCCCGGGGGAACCCCCCCCACCCGGGGGGAGCCCCCGGCCCGGAAAAGGGTAGTTTTTGTGAAAAAAAAAAAAATTGGGTTCCCCCCCCAAATTTTTTTTT